GGTGATTGAGGTGAGTTTAAATAGTTGATTTATATTTTATCCTTTGGTCTAGATTCAGTCTGGCATGGTTTTCACATGATGTTTTACTTACTCTGTTTTCAAAGGTAAATTGAGGTGGGACATAAATACCACTTTGAATGAACACAGTATCTTCCTTTAATGATTTCCTTTTTGCTATATTCCAGTTTTAGACTAGGGATACCTAAAATGAGGGAGGCTGTGTCTGTAACACCTGAGGACTCTTTCTAACGTTTGCTCTCCATATTCTGATACACACCTCCTCTCTTTAGTCCGCTGCCTACTCAACTCTATTCGACAAACGTGAGAACCTCAGGACAAGTGCAAACAGCCAGTGTCATTCACAGTTTGGAAATGCTGAAAAACAGAACAAAATAAAAACCAAAAACCTGAAAAAGGACTCCACAAGGCTCACAGAAGTGGGAGGATATCGGTGAATCTGCCGGCCAGAGTGAGATACTTCACATTTTATGTGCTGTACAGTATTGAGGAGGGCGTTTCAGCAGTGGAGCTGAAGTACTCCTAGATATCAGGCTTTTCTGGCCGTGGGTAAAGAATTAAATGGGAGATCTCAGGATGTACCTGTTTTCTGATAACTCAGTGCTTAACAAAACAAACCTTAAGAGCATTTAAGGAATACAAACTTACAAAATTATTCAACAGGCAGAAAGTTTAAAAAAAATCTGCCATTGTGTGAAAAAATATGGAAACACAGCCTATAATTAGCAGAATAAATCCGTGAAAGAGACCCAAATATGACACAGATGTTAGAAATAATGAACAAAGATAGTAAGTCAGTTAGAGTAACAATACCTTATAATATATAGTAAACACAAAAAGAGTAGAAATAGGACTTGTAGAGATAAAAAATATAATGACATGTAAGAAATGCATTGATAAGATTAAAAAACAGATTAAATTAAGAAAAGATTAATAAATCTGAAGATCCTGCAGTAAGTACTACCTACAATGAAGCCCAAAAGTTTGTCAAAAATGCTAAAGTAATTAAATGTGGAAAAGAATGGATAGTTTTTCATCTGATGATATTGGAAAAATTAAGTAGTTATACTTGATTCACATTATTTACTAGAAACAAAAAAATGAAACTAATTATAAACTTAAATGTAAAAGTAAAACCACAAAACTTGAAAACAATAAGAAATTTTCACAGATATATGGATATTTAAAGATGCATCAAACTATATAAATTAGGTGTATACATTTAAATTATATCCCCATTAAGCCTTAAGCCTTCAAAAACAACATTGGAATAGGTAAAGTGAAAAAAAAATAGCAAAATACTATGCAACAGTATTATAGAAAATGATTATGATATCTGGTTTTAACAGTTCTGAACTAGTTCTAGAAAAAAACAGAAAACAACTGTTAAAAAGCAAATAAACTCATAGAGAGATCAATTATAAATACATGTGAAATTCAACAATTTTATTCAATTAGATTTTAAAGTGTCATGATTTGCATATATTTGTTGGTAGAATCACAAGAAAATTAACTTTTATGCAAATCATCTTTTAAGCAAAATAAACTGCATTCAGATATGATTCAGAGGTTTTCATTTTTAATTTAAAGATTTTTTTGAAGAGCAGGGACGAAAATAGTTGGCAGATGTTTTGATTATTAAATCTTCCCTTGAAGACTTACATCTTTGAGAGGAAAGTCAGTTCAAGTCTTTGAACATCTGACTCAGTTTCTGTGTAAAATGCTAACTGTATAGCTGACCCTTCAGGGTATGACCCACTAGGAGGGGAGACTCATTTTGTTTTGTTTTGTTTTTGTTTTACTGGAAAGACAGCTGACATTTAATCTTCTTTGCCATAAGCCTAATTTATTAGTAATAAACAAAATAACAAGAACGATGAAAAATTATCTTTTGTTTCAACATTAAAGTTTCAGCGACTGGCATAAAAATTACACATGGATAGAATGGAGACTTCAGGACACACAATGAAAAGACTGTGACATTTACTCAATAGTTTTCCATTTTATAGTTCTAAGAAATTTTAGAATTGTGCATTAAGTGTCAAATGTTATATATGGCGTAGCAGCTCTGGGGTTTCTAAATGATCACTGTACTACTAAGAGACAGTTCTTCTCTTGGGGAATTTTCTCATTAAAACAAATGCTTTGCCATAGTGACATATTTTACATTTGGAATAAACTACACATTCCAAAGTTCGAGAGTTACTAATGGGTTTCAGTCCTTCTCCAACTGCAATAAAAAAATTGCTATATTCAAGAGGAAATTTTTTGAAAGGGTAACAGAATAATGTTTGTATTTGGAAGATGAATGACCTTGGTATAAGCTCTTTTGTGGAGGTTCTGTTAGTGTTTAACTCTTTTTTACTTTTCTGGGTCACCTCAGAGAGCTGAACATATGGAAGATGAAATTTGGCAATACTTTCCATCTTCAGCATTGATGCTCTGGAATAAACGTTGCATTTTCAGGCAAAAATCAGTATGATTAAAATGTTATTTAAATTCAGAAATGAATAGAAGCCATGATGGTATTTTTCATTTAGTAAGTCAGGTAACTTAATAGAGGGTGATCCAATGAAATCACAGAGACCATCTATCCAGGAATGAGAGAGTCTGAGGTTATTGTAAGATTAATTGGCCCATACTGCAATAAGAGGGAGAATTTGAATATTCTAGTAGCCTATTTTGGTCACTAGCACCTCTTCTGTGAAATTAACTCAAAGAATTAAACATAATCCATATCTTAGTACTGGGGAAATTGTTCTACATTTCAGCTAGAGAGAAAAAAGATCAATGGATGGTCATATTTAGAAATCATTCCACTACATTCCAGCCTCTATTGTAGGCATTATGTAAACAGCCAGCTGTTTACCTGGTACCTGGACTCAAGGGATCACTGCACAAGACATTTTTTTCATGTGTGTTTTGAGTTTTAAAGATAGGAAAACAAAAACAAGTTAGTAACAAAAGAAATAACTTCAAGAAGGATATAGTAGCCACTGATGGTTTATTTTGGGAGTTGGCAAGGAAAAAACTATAAGAGACATTAAAATTTCAGAATAAGTCATCCTTGTATCTCTTTTATTTTCCAGTCCTTGAAATCCTCCTCTTCTTCCATATTATATCATGTTCCAGACCAGAGTTCCAAAGTGCCTAAAAGTTCCAATCCGTATTACTCTATGTAATTACTCCTAATTGAACCTTGACAAGTGGGTGGTGCCTGAACGCAAACTCTGTTGCAGAAAAATGAATAGAAATCAAAAGACAGGGCTTCGGACTGTGTTGGGCCGTCCTGATACGTGACTGAAATTCAGGCTTGTGTTTTGATCTTTGTAAGGTCAAATTCTATCCTGGGCACTACTTTTGCCTTTTGGGCAAAGGAGAAAGAAAGTCCATAACAGAGACTAGAAAGGAAACATACTAATATTAGAAAGAAACTTAGACATCTAGATAAATAAACTACTGCCTGCATATTGACTTCACTTATCTCATCTTTGGGGAAAAGAAAACACTTGATTTGTTTCTTAACTTCCAGATTTGGTTTGAAGGTCTTTTTCCTATTATAGTTTTTCTGAACCTCTCTTCCACTCCTTGATTGATTCCTAAAGCCTTCAGGACCCTTTTCCCATTTCTTTCTAATTTACCAGTCTCAATGTTGCAAAAAGCCTGGGAGGTGATTACACTCAATCTTCTAACCAAACAGGCCCAGCATAGCAGGTGTGAAGCGAAGCGTTACTGTCAACATGGGTAAAACCTGAGTGGGTAGTGGATGGACATGCACAGGGAAGCATGGGCCACGAATACAAAGCACAGCCTCCTGATGTCTCATTCTTGTTTACCGTGGAGGAGTTACCACAGACACTGAGCTGTTGGGCCTGACAGGAATAGAAAACCATATTTCTGTCTTCCAAATCTAGCTCTCATGAACAAAGGAAAGAAGTGAGCTGAGGGTGATGGCTAGTCTTGGTTGTCAGCTTGATTGATGTAAGAGATGCCTACATGATTAGTACAGCACACTTCTGGCTGTGTCTGGGTAGATCGTGGGGGCATGAGCTTGGGGACTGTACCCAGTCACCCAGTCTTTGACCCTTTCTTATCTAGTGCTTCCTTTTTCTCTGCTTTCCAGCTGTCATGCTTTCTGCCATGATGTGATACTTTGGATCCAGCTGACTTACTGTGGACTGACAGCTCTGAAGCCATGAGCCAAAATAAATCTATTCTCCTTTAATTTTATACGCCCAGTGTCTTGTTACTTTGCTGGATGCTAAGACACAATAGTTGACACCCATAACTTAAAGGAAGGGAGGATTATTTTGGTTGACAGTTACAGTCTTGCGCTAGAAGGGCTTCTGTAGAGGAATAGCTGCTCCCATCATGGTGGTCAGGAAGCAAGGAGCAAAAGGAGAGGCCAGGGAAGGAGATAACACCTTCCTAAGACACCACCCAGTCGCTAACCTTAAAGCCCCACCTTCTTGGCTATCGTGCTCATAAAGTCCAATCACCTTCCAAAAGCCCTACCTCTATGCACATGAGGTTTTTAAGATACACTAGATCCAAACCGTAATATCAGGTATTTTGTGCCAGCGATGAAAAGCTAATATATTGAGCAAGAGGCATTGATTGGAGGGGTCCATCTCCAAACACTGTTTCAAGATAAAAATGTCTAGCTAAACCATGACACAGTTATATTTTTAGTCTTCTTTAAAATACTGCTTTTCTTCTCCATTGAGAAATGATCTGCAGACTCTAATAGTGTATGTCTATAATTATAGCTGTTTAGGAGAGCAAGACAGGAAGATTACAAGTCTGAGACCATCCTGAACCACTTAGAGAGACCCTGTCTCAAAATCAAATAAGAATTGCTGGGGAAATAGCTCAGTGCTTCAGGGTTCAATCACCAATATTGTAAAAGAAGTGAAATCAACCAAGCAATATTCCATCAAACGAACCAACAAGCAACTAAACTCAATTACAAAAAACTGCTGAATTGGAATTGCATATGTATATAAAAATACACAGATTATAAGTATATGGTTTAATGACTCACTTAGCATAATGTGAACACATCAGGGTAATCATCACCCAAGAAGAAATAGAATATTGCCAGCATCTGCAGGTCTATCTGTGCCCCTTCCAGTCTTCTCTAAATGAAACCAGTATTCTGACTTCTCATACATGTTTTTCCTGATTTTGAACTTTATATAAACAGACACAACCATTATACATTTTTGTGTCAGATTGTTTTTTCAGCACAATATTTGTGAGATTCATCCATGTTGGTATCCTGTGCAGAAAATCTGTAATTAAATCTAACCATATTATTTCAGGTCGCCGTTGAAGAGAAAGAGACCAAATCCCACCTGTTTCAGAGCTTGCATTGGGAGCTTGAGCCTCACCTTTTGCACCTGAAAGTCAGAAATGCACAAGGGTCAATTATTCTACAGCAGACCCAGCTGAATGACAAGAGTTCACATGCAAATACTCCAGCTCCCTCCCTCACTGGGTTGGATAACTCCAGGAACACAAGTTTACACTGATTCTGCGTGGGATTAAGCCCCACTTACTACAGTGTCTGATTTTCTAATGTACCCTTTTTTGATTGCATTCTCTTCCATCTCTTTTTCCCCCACCTCTCTGGTAATATTTTCTGGAGTTAGCTTCCAAATAAATCAGTTGGATTTAAATCCTCATCTTCTGGTCTGTTTCTGGGAACTTAATCTAAAAGTGAATATTTTGATCATTTTCATTGGTGTATGGTTTATTTCTGTTGCATAACCATACTTCACATTATTTATATATTATTCTGTCAGTGGACAAGTGGACATTTGGGTTGTTTTCAATAATGACTATTATTTACTAATATTACTATAAGCTTTTTAGCATATGTTTTGGTCAACACACCACTGTGGAATTTATAGTTCAGAATATGTGCATATATTCATCTTTAACAATAAATTATTTTTCAAGGTATTTATAGAAATTAATATTGCTATTTGAGAACTCTGGAGTATTGAAGAATTTGGATTGCAAGGTGGGTGTGCTTGTATTCCAAGTACTTATGAGGCTGAGGCAGGAGGATCATGAGTTCAAGGCTAGAATAGCAAAACCTTGTCTCAAAACAATTTCTAGTTTTTGTATAACTTTGTTAATATCTATCACATAACCTTTTCTATTTATTGATATAGCAATATATATAGTGTTATCTACTATGTTTAACTTTGAAGATAAATTATCTTGGTCGTATTTATACTTTTCATATTTGTTATTTGGTTATTTTTCATTTTTAATTTTCATTTTTATTAGCACATGCTGGTAGTACAGAATGTTTGCATTCTTTCTGTGCAGATTGGTCTTGGTACCCAATACATCTTAATTCATTTTCATCCCCTTTTCCTCTCCTTCTCCCCTCCTTGTATGTCTTGGTCCCCTTCCCATTTGAGAAAGATCTCTCTCTACTTCCTGTTATCTTTTGTAAGCTCATGGTGTGACTTGAATGTGCATGCCACCCCAGAATTCATATGTTGGAGCCCCAGTGGCCAATGTGAGTGAATTTGGAGTTAGGGCCTTTATGGTGGTGATTAAGCTAAACCAGTTAGTCAGTGTGGCATCCTGATCTGACAGGATTAGTAGCCTTCTGAGATAAGATTCTCTGTCTGTCTCTGTCTCTTCTGTAAGCCACACTGGTGATTCTGAAATCTAACCCATTGGCATCTTGACCAATATTGGATTTCAGCCTCCAGAACTGTGAGAAAATAAATGCTGTTATTTAACCCATATAACCTCTTTATTCTATTATGCAAGCTTTAACTGACTAATACCAATTTTGGTACTGGGAAGTGGAGTCCTAGTCCAACAAAGGCCTCTTAAAGTCCTTGGGACTGGGTGATGACTCAGAGGCTAGGACAGTTTTGACATGGATGTGACTGTTGTGAAGGCACTGTTGGCAGGAATACGGATGTGAAAGGTGATTCTGGAAAGAGATCAGAAAGAAAAAGGTGATCTGGAAAGAATGCTTCCATCCTCTATATATCATCATGAACAGAACGTTAAAATAAATATGGGTGTTAAAGATCATTCTGGAGAGGTCTCAATGGAAAAAAGGAATAATTTATGCACTGCCCCTAGCTGTCTAGCACCTGGGCCCAGGGTGATGTGGTTAGGGGACAGCATTTCAGAGTGTGAGAGCCTGAGAAAGGCTGTGACTCGAGCTGTGAGTTCTGGCTTGGTTAGATGGCAAAAGAAAATCATGTTAACAAGTGAGTCATTTATGTGATTCTAGGAATTGGGCAGCCCTGAGTGGGGGACGTCCCTTTCTGGACAACAACACTTTACGATAACAAAGCACAAACAATTTGGAAGACGTGATTAATCCACTTCTCGGGATTATACAGAAGATGTCTCAGTTTAATTCTGGAATTGGCCATCAAGCTTTCATCTTGAAAAATTCTCTTCTGGTCTCAAAAGACTCTACTTCATGTCTTACTCATTTCCGTGCCTCTTACATCTTTCGATAAGTTTTAAAAGTTGCCTGTTATTCTTTCCACAGCCTTATACTATGAGGAAAATTAATTTTTCGTTTCTGGTGTTTTATTCTGTGAGCAACTGGGTCTTTCTACATGACCGGTGTCTTCCTGTTACCCTCACTGGCCTCTCTACATAGAAACTTGTCCTGTGCTTCGGGAGGTTCCATGACTTTTACCCCAGGTGAGGTGAGTCTTTATCCAAATCTTTCTTTCAGAGGTCGGAACTATATAAAGTTTAATTTATTTCTGTTTGTTCCAGATTTCAGAATCAATAGCTTACTGGCTATATTATGGAAGTGAATTACCTTGCAGCGATATGCATGTTTTTCTACTCATTTTTCTACAGTCTGACTTCTCCCTCTGGGCCTTCATTGCCATAAATTTACTGTGTCATTTACAAGAAAGTGGGTCCTTGTGTAAATCTCATAGAATTATTAAAATTATATTACTATATGCTTGCTAGGCTGGATTTCCCATACACAGTCTGAGATGGGCAAGTGACTTATTGATGGGAATGGCCAGAGCACTAGTTTTCTCACAGTTTTTGTCTTGCTTTAAAGAAAGGATGAGGGGTGAGCTTTTGTGTTTCTATAATGGGGTAGTCATTTTCTGCATGTTTCTCGTGTTGCCCAGAGGGGAGGAAGAATTATGTGTGAGTGGTCTGGTCGTATTGTTGGAGGGAATTTTTCCAGAGGGAGGAACTTTGTGAACCATTAAGGTACAACATTGCCACTGTGGGTTGGGCAAAGGGGATCTATCTGTGTGGCACCAAGGGTGACTGTGCGTGTGACAGCTCTCAGGGTAAATCTTTAAAAAGATGCAGTGTTTCTCTATATTGCTGGTCACTGGCTCTTATGTGCAGCAGCCTCTTTAATTCTGAGTAAGTGAGCAGCAAAGGTCACAAAGGACGGCTATGCTTGCAAGGTCTCTAGCAAAACAAAATCCTAAAGAGCTGTGCTTCCCATGACACGAGTTAATTTTAAATTTAGCAGAAACTAAATACTAAGCGTATACTATTTGTACTGAGTGTTTATGAAAAACATAACCTCTTCCCAGAGGTAGCAGAGTATGCTAATTATGCACCAGAATTCCTTTTATATTCAAATATCCAGCAACCTGAGCTGTAGTGGAAATAGTCAATCTAGAAAAGAAGCTAATTGAAATTGCATTAATAGGAAAAACAACTATTGTTATAAATAGTGTTTTATGCCTTTTAAGTACAGTATAAACTGCTGCTGAGACTGAAAGGAATTGGGGCTACAGTAAAATTTCATAACACAGTCAAATTAAAATATAATTTCAGTTCTAGTCAGCTTTGCAACAGCACACTAATGTTTAGAGAGCAACATTTCTGGGTTTGGGGAAGACCATCATAAAGAATGCTGACCATGGATCATGCAGGCACCTACCATTATTATAAAATCAATACAACAAATTAATGTTTTATCCACAGAACCAATTCTCCTTAGAACATATTCCAATAGTCACTTGTTTTACAGTTAAACCATGGTTTGCTTCCATAATTCAAAACATAATCATGACAAAGTGTGTTTGGAAGAGACAGAGAAAATATGGCCATAAGACAGAGGCATTTTGTTCTTCAGGAGAGATGTGAGATTATGTCTTAAGAATCTAATGACCTGGGGTCCTGTCTGAAGAGTTTGACTCAAAAGACTTAGTTATCTATTCTATATCAGGCATCTTACATTTACATCTTACATTAGTTGAGTAGAATTTCAGATGTGACAGTCATGAAAATTTACTGCTTAGTTCTCCAGCTACAAAGAGCATTTCTGACTAATTTCTTTGTTCACAGCCTCCAAGGATCTGACATTAGCTTTGTTCTAGCATCATGCTCATAAGATGCCCTCAGCCCAACAGCATGGCAAGAGTTCAAAGATAAGTCCATTATTGCAAGATGGTGGGCTTTTCATTGTGTCTATGAATTAGGGATGCTTCCTTAGGCTTGGTTCAATTTTTGTGCTGCTAACCAATTTCTCCTACCCTGTCCTTACTTCCTTTATGCTAACCATGAGACTCACAGTCTCAAGGTTCTCTGCATCTTCTCCTGCTCCCTTCCCAAATACATTTCTTACATGCATAATCTCATATTGTCCTGTGCTTCTCATTGACTCTAAATGAACACAAGTGGTAATGAGACTGGTCCAGTAAATAAGTGGTAGTGTGTGGGCCTAGAACTAGCTCACCAAGCACTCAGTCAGCAAAGAAGCTGCCATCCTGAGCAGATCATCCCTGGTACACGTTGGTGAGACTGCTAAATATTTCATCAGCAGTAGGTTGGGAAGTGGTCCTAGTCTAGGGAATACTTCAGCAGATATGATGATTGAGACTATTGAGTGATGTTGGGGACCAAGGCTTATGAAAACAGCAGAATTGACTTGTTAGTACTAAGTTGCTTTGCTCTCCTGTAGAGGGAGAGTAAGAAACTGAAAGATGTTAAAAGAACTGTGGTAAACATGATCTCTTGTAGTTTACAAAGCATCCCTAACCCTCCAAACAAGAGAGCAGCAATAGCTGCAGAGCAGAATGAAGATGGATAGAGTGAGTGTGTTCCAGAGACACTCGAATGCTTGTTTGCTAAATGCAGTGTGATGCAGACCTGGAAGCCTGCAACATAAGATGCAATTTTTGAGTTGGTAACTCTGGGTAGGATCGCTCTGCAGATCCTTTAGAATCCTTCAGAGCTTGAAGAAAATAAGAGGATAACATTATGCAATATAGCACATATGGCAGATTTCCTTCTGTCTTGTTTTTGGAATCCAGTAATGTTCTCACTGTTTTGTTCCAATTTATTGTTTTGTTTTATTCAATATTCTGTTTTTATTAGTTTTACTCTGTTTTATTTTATGTGATTTTACTATGTCTGATGGAATGGACCATTGTTGTGAAGATAACAAGATACATTATGGTAGCCACTGTGGATGACCTATTGTCCTGCTTTGAAGTTCTGTACTGTGTTCACTGCCTTGTTTTGATTGGCTTTACTTTGTTTTCTTTTGTCGGATTTTATTCCATTTAAAATCAAAAAAAGAAAGAAATGAAAATAGGTGGCCCTTTTCTAGATGACGGTACAGGATTTCATCCTCTTACCATAAACAGTGTCCCCTTCAGCATCTCTTCCTACTTCCTTTCATGGCTTGCAGGCTGATTAAGGTTAAATCTCAGCATATTTCAGTTTGTAATCCTGATAAAGAAGAGAATATGGAAGGAAGTCATCGCAAGACTCAGTTATGATGGCCCAGCTGAAACCAGATACTATGTGAAGCATCAGCCATCACGGGATGCTGGAATGCCCTTCGGAAGGTACACAGTTTCAGAGGTAAAACTTTGAAAGAATAGGGTACCATCATTTTGGGTAAAACACATACATTGAATTAGAAGACTCCTTACAATTCTTAATAAGGTCCTGGAATCAGGAACAAAGGAACTCAAATAGGAGTGGCTTTACACATACTTTTCTGAATGACTTGTTGGGACATTTTGTGCTTCCTGTTGTCACAGCTCTACACTTGCAAATTTGGTCTCCAAAGGAGGCTTGCTATTGCTAGGTAACACAGCAAGCTCCCCAGTGCACCACAGTTGTCATCTGCCAGCAGTGCACTGTGGACTTTTGTATTTAGAATGCTACAAGCAGGAGTCACCACTATGGCAGAGGTGAGCAACTCTGGGTAAAAAGAGGCGTGGGGCATTTTTATACCATGAGACAAGAGCAATATATGTGGCACTCAGGTACACTGGTGTGCCTCCTGCTACTCCCTTGCCCCACTGAACCCATGAATGGATAAGTATAGCAATGGTTGTTGAGTGCCACAGCCCTTAAGAAATAAGCCTTTGGTCCTAATAGAGCACAGGCTGTCTAGAACTTTGGATGTGATAGAAGGCGAGGGGAATTTAGAAGGGCATGTGGATGGAGAGAGCAAGTACCAACTACGGCTCTGTGATCAAATACAGTGATGGGTCTCCAGCTCATGCCACAAAGCCCCTTTTTGTAGGTTTATTCACAGATGAGCATCAGTCCCATAGGGAGGAATGGAGAAGTAGGGCTGTACACATGAACAGTGGACTTTGGTGCAGAGGAGGCTCCCTGCTGAGATGTGCTGCAGGGCAGGCGTTGAATGACTGGCCCTGCTGCTGCTCCCTGAGTCATCTCCTACTGCACCTGCACCTCTTCGGGCTGGCTGCTCATACAGGAGAGGTTCTAGGCTGGCCCATTCTAACCAGATGTGGAACTACTCATACTGGTGACATATGACATGAAAATATATATACATACATATATATGCATACATATATACATACACACAAGTGAGTGAAAAAGTGTATTGTGTTTTAAACAACTGTAATAATTAAAATTTTACAGACGATATGATAATTTAGACATATATAAACAATAAATATGTGAAATATTTCATTCTCTCATAATTGAAAAAGGCACAAGAATGGAAGAAGAAGAGAATGGAACCTCCCATGATTAAAGAAATTAATAACAAAATATTGCTGGGTGTGGTGGTGCCCACCTACAATGCCAGTTATTTGGGAGGCTAAAGTAAGAGGATTGCAAATTTGAGAACAGCCTTAGCAACTTAGAGAGGCCCAGTTCCAAATCTGGTTTCAATCCCACAAGCAAGCAACCCCTCCCCACAAAAGAAAGAAAATATATGATTTTCCTACATCTTAGATTTGCAAAACTTAGTTGAGTTAAGCCAATACTGGAGAGGACATTGGGATGTGAACAAGTTCATATATCCAATTTAGAAATATTGTTAAAATATTCTATTTTATCCAACTTCTATTATTTATCCATATTTTCTGTGGCATTTCCTTTGACCCAGTAACACTACTGCTAAGAAATTTCCATAGTCACATAAGTACAAAGACATTGATTTGTATCATTGATCGTAATTGTATTAGTGGGGGTTAATATTGATTGAGTTCTTACCATGTGCCAAACAGTTCTCAACACCTTACATGCACAAAAGGGTCTTTAACCCACATCCCATGGCATAGGTACCTGGCGTTTCACTTCACAGAGAAGAAAGTAAAGCACAGATAAGCCCCCTTCTCCGAGGCACTCTCCATTGGCTGGTGGTAGAGATGGAATCTAACAATTCTTCTTCTACTTCCTTTGGTAGAAAATCTTAACTCTCTCAACTTATACGGCAGAAATACTTGAAATAAACTGACGTGAGGCTATAGTCAGTGTTTAGTGCAGTGTAAGGGCATATAATTAATATTTCACTGCAAAAATAGTACATGTGATTGCAAGTGACGTTGCCAGGCTGCTGAGGATGTTTTTATTGTGTAGCATATGCTGTGCATGGGGATGGATAAAATCAATATGAATGGAAAATTGGGTAAGAAGTGAGGAAGAGGCTTAAAGAAGGACTCATGGATTAATAATTTATAAGCTGATATGGATTTATTGAGCCACTCAGAAATCAGGGCCACTGCAAGCACGAGCTCAGTTTGCTGCACCTTTGAGATGTCAGTTGAAGCATCACATAAGCAATGGAACAGATTGACGTGGAAGCCCAGGACTTCTTTTACCCTTTGGTGAAGAGCAAACTCTTTGTTTCAGAAGTAGGATGTGTGAAATTCTGCTGAAATATAAAAAGCCAGGTCTTGATTTCTGCACTTGTATATTACAGATAGCTTCAGTAAAAGCTATTTCTTTGTCATACACTAATATTCTTTAGAATGCTACTGGTAGGATCCTGTACTGCAGAATGACTATTAGAAAGGAAATTTAAATTTAAAAATATGTAAGTGATGCTTTCAAAAAATTTTTCTTTTAAGGATAGAGAGGAAAAGTGGTTGGAGGAGGCTGTGAGACTCGAGAGCGTATTGAGACTTGGGCAAGCTTAGGAATAACATGGAAAAAACAACCAATACATAGGTTTTCTGAGCAAATAGGTTAAATAGACTCTGGAATGCTAATGGAGGGCTAGGCTTAGACAGTTGGAGGAACATTTGTGCACTTATATGAGAGACAAAAGTCAGCATATGCACACATTTTGTATATACAGGTATCAGTGTTTTGATTCAAGAAGATGAACAGATCCCATCAGATAGTTTCTCATCTTTTGTGTCATGGTTATGGGACACACTGCGAAGTTTCACCAGACAAGAGATTTGAAGTGACTCTCCTAATCATGGCATACCATTAAAGGATCACCAGGAAATTGCTATAGAGCTATGAGAATCTCTGAGATGAGAGTTAGGAGCTTAGTTTGCTACCAAAGCATAGCAGCTTCCCCAGCAGGATTTTCTGTAAGAAGGGTGCAGGTGTTAGAAGTAATCTCAACAGCCAGTGCTGTGCCCCTTCAGCAGACCTCATCCCTGTTTAATTAAGGAATCTTGGCTGCTGGCTTTTATAAGATTATACTCACTCATTTCTGAATAATTAGCAAGAATTCTGAAAGGAAAGTTAGAATGTAGTTTATATTTTTACTTGTTTTAATTGTTTTGAGGCAGGTTCTTGCTCTACAAGCCAGACAGCCCTGGGACTCACTGTCCTCCTGCCTTGGCACCCCAAATGCCAGGATTACAAGCAAAACCTTCATTTTAGGAGTCAGGTAGCCTTGAATCCCAGATGGGCAGTTACTTAGCCCAGTATCTTTGGGCTTGTTAGTTCAATGCTTCTACTGCATAAAATGGGTTAGTTTATGAAAAATAGTTCCAGTAGTGCTAGCACATAACAAGCGCTCAAAACACAGAGACCCTGCCCAGGGCCACAAGAAGAGCAAAGGGAGGAACTGATAAAACACAGCAGCCTGGTTTCAGAGGAGAGACTTTTAAATATCGCGCAGCACTGCCTAGAGAACCCAAATGTTAGCTGTAATTTTTAAAATTTATGAATACCATCTAAAGAAGTGTGACTTTTTGAAATGTGCTCTCATCTTTTGTTTGTTGGGTAAAAGTCAATAAAGAGCGAGTACTTCATAAAACGTGTTCTCACCAGGCTATCCTTGGGTGACAGAGTGGATTGACATTTTTTTTTAATATGCTACATCTCGATCCCACATGACACGGTGGCATTCATATTCCAGTTGATGTAGTCATTTAGCACAAAACAGAATCTGCTAGGAAAGTGGAGAGGCCATTCAAATGAGGAAAACTTGGTACACAATAGAAATATGAGTGTTTTGTATCTTTCCAGCTAAAGGGATTTTAAAAATGAAGGTTTAAGGCTTTAAACTAAAATCTATGAAATGATAAGATATTTTCATTTCAATGATGCTAGTTTCTTTGTTAGACTAAAGAGTAGCACAATACAGTTATTCTTATGGAGTTATCCCTAAGTCCCTGTGGTATATCTTATAAATAATAAAAATTAATAGTTAAAGAATTGAGGAAAAATAAACATTGACTTTTTATGCTCCAGTTAAGGTCAGCTCAAAAGTGAAAATATCTAAAGGAAAAAAAAAAGCTAATAGCTAATACCATAGTAAACAGGAGACATCCTACCAAAAATTACTTCTAGAATAGTAACAAAGCTATCAGACAGGGTAAATGCCTTCTTAACCTTTTTAAAAAAATTTTATGGTTTATGTTTCTGGAGCATCACAGTTAAGATAGGATTCTATTTGGCAGCTTTTGTTAATATCAGGAAACATTTCCTGTTAAATTAAAATCACCTGGTTTATAACAGACTATTGTCATATAGCTTCAAAATTTGGTTGAATTGAAATCTCTCCATCACGATGTGATACAGATAATATTAACTTATGCCCCAAATAAAATTCCACACTCTCCCCATCACCAACCTACTCTTGCTTACTGTAACTGGCAAGGATTCAATAATCCCCTCACCCTAACCCTGAGCTTTATCATTATTCTTTCTTATGCGTCCTTCAATACATTACTGGTCTGGATGTGTGCTTTCTGACTCTTCCTCTCCTGTCTTCTCTGTCAGGACCTTATCCTGACCTCTCACCATCTCTCGCTTCAGCTATTTCCATAGCTGTGAACCAGGCTTAGTTCCTTTGCAACTTAGATTACAGCACTTCCCTTGGGGCTCACTTCAATAGTTTCCCGTTTGCCTTCAGGACTCCATTGGTGCACAGGGTGTATCATGCATTCCCTGACCTGACCCCGGGCCCCCACAACTCTTCCACTTCATCTTGTTTTTTCTTTGTACCCCGAGGGCTAGTAGTATTCAGCTACTTGCAGGACTTTGAAGGC